CACACACACACACACACACACACACACACACACACACACACACACACACACAGTATATGCAGTGGAACACCTTGAGATTTTAAGCATTGTTTGATGTGGTCCTGAGGTCTCTGGTGGTTTTGCAAAAACAGATGGTTTCTATTGGGCCGTTGGTTTTCTGTATGTGTGCATTTGATGGTTGCGTTCAAGGGATGGCTCAGATCTTTTGAAGTGGTGTTTGGTCCAAAGGCTATAAACAATTAATATCTTACCTGCTGTAGTTGGCTCTTTGAAGAACCTCTGATGGGATTGATGAACTTAATGGCTGGTCTGAGCTGGACCAAGACCCAAGTGGATTCCTGCTTCAACATCAAAAGGTCATAATGTAAATTCTGTTTTATAAAGCTTTATGCTGCTGTCTAATTTAATTTTATGAACTAATACAATATTCATGCAGGAAGTGCTACACCTATCTGCTGCTGACAGTATTTGTGCTTGAAAACAGGATTCTTGATGAATAATTGTATATAAGTGTAGAGAAAAAAATAACATTTACATTAGCCCATTTAAAAGTTTTAAAACTTGCGTAGTTTTAAAAAAGCAGCACTCAACTTTCATCCTGACTTTACTCGGACCAGCCATTAGCTCATTAATACAGTCAGGGTTTTTTTTTTCTCATTTAACTTTTTATTAATGAAAGAATTCAATGTACATCCAGTTATTTACACAAATTTTAAAGATATTACTATTTTTACATTTTAATCCAGTAAGAATTAAATTATATTGCTTCAAACTAAAAGAGTTATCTGCAGCAGGTAAGATAATCATTCGCAATATAGAAGTAGAACCAAACTTTAAGTAATCTTAAACCTCCGTAATAGGATCTACATTAATTTTGTATTCTCTAATTATTGCCATGATGACAGGCAAGCGATACCTACTTGTTAATACATATTTGTCTGTTAAATATCTCAGGAACCACTATCCAGATTTTTATTAAACTAATGGTGCCCCATTACCAATACTGGTATATGCCTTGGCCCTGATTTTACAAGTACAAAATGCCCCAATACCAATACAAGTATTGATACTTGGATATTGATATTGATATTCCATTAAATGTGTTACACTCCACATTTCAAGTGAAAGGTTGGCAAGTACCCAAACAGAAGTACTTGTACACAGACTCTGTTTGAGATAAACTTGTATCTGGACACCCATGAAAGAAACTCTTAGATAGTGATCATTGTGTGTACATCTACTACAGATTACTTTTTAGAGTCGCCTGATCCAAGATGGCTTCAACCATTAACCTTTGCAATCTACAATGGGTAAAACTGTCATTTTTACAAATATCGAGCTAATATTTGGTGTGGTAGTAGCTGAAAGTCTTCACTAAGATGTCCAAATAATAACAGATTCCATGTCATCCGTCCGTCCGTCCATTTTCTGCCGCTTATCTGGGGTCAGGTCGCGGGGCCAGCAGCTTAAGCAAAGAGACCCAGACTTCCCCCTCCTCACCTACTTGGGCCAGCTCATCCGGGGAATCCCAAAGCGTTCCCAGGCCAGCTGAGAGACATAGTCCCTCCAGCATGCCCTGGGTCTTCCTCTGGGCCTCCTCCCAGTGGGACATGTCCGGAACACCTCACCAGGGAGGCGTCCAGGAGCCACCCTAACCAGATGCCCAAGCCACCACAACTGGCTCATCTCGACATGGAGGAGCAACGGCTCTACTCTGTGTCCTCCCGGATGACTGAGCTTCTCACCCTATCTCTAAGGGAGAGCCCAGACACCCTGCAGAGGAAACTCATTTCGGCCGCTTGTATCCGCAATCTCATTCTTTCGGTCACTACCCAAAGCTCGTGACCATAGATGTGGGTAGGAATGTAGACCGACTGGTAAATCGAGAGCTTTGCCTTCTAGCTCAGCTCCCGCTTCACCACGACAGACTGGTACAGCGCTCGCATCACTGTAGACGCAACACCAATCCGCCTGTCGATCTCCCGCTCCATTCTTCCCTCATTCGTGAAGAAGACCCTGAGGTACTTAAATTCCTCCACTTGGGGCAGGACCTCCTCCCCGACCTGGAGAAGGCACCCTACTAGTTTCCGGCTCAAGACCATGGTCTTGGATTTGGAGGCAATGATCCTCATCCCAGTCGCTTCACACTCTGCTGCAAACCTCCCCAGTGAGAGCTGGATATCACAATCTGATGAGGCCAATAGGACCACATCATCTGCAAAAAGCAGAGATGTGATCCTAAGGTCACCAAAAAGGATCCCCTCAACACCTTGGCTGTGCCTAGAAATTCTGTCAATAAAAGTTATGAACAGAATCGGTGACAAAGAGCAACCTTGGCGGAGTCCAACTCTCACCGGAAACGAGTCCAACTTACTTACCAGCAATGCGGACCAAGCTCTGGCACCGGTTGTACAGGGACCTAACAGCCCGTATCAATGGGCCTGGTACCTCATACACCCAGAGTACCCCCCACAAGAGTCCCGGTGGGACACGGTCGCACGCCTTCTCCAAATACATAACACACATGTAGACTGGTTTGGCAAACTCCCATGCATTCTGCAAGTAGAGCTGGTCCGCTGTTCCACGACCAGGACGAAAAACACACTGCTCCTCCTGAATCTGAGATTCGACTAGCCGGTGGACCCTCCTCTCCAGGACCCCTGAATAGACCTT